GGGAGTGCCCCTCACCCCGCCAAACTGAGGATGGGTTTTTTTTTGGGGGAGTGAACACCATAAAATCCAACAGAATCCATCTTTGTTCTGCTGGGAACACAAAGTCACAGCGTGAGATGAGGCTGGAGGCACTGGGGTCACTCTGTCCTGGCAGGAAGGCAACCCCAAAACTTTCAGATCAACTCATTGTGGGGTGAAAGATCCCAAAATCCCACAATTCTGAGTGCACAGCAGGGCCAGCTGTCCCCACTGCAGTGACAGTGACACCTCTGTGTCCCCATGGTGGGGTCACCGTGCCCAGGATGAGCCCTGGAGCAGTGACAGTGACACCTCTGTCCTCACTGCAGTGACAGTGACACCTCTGTCCCCATGGTGGGGTCACCGTGCCCAGGATGAGCCCTGGAGCTGTCCCAAAGCAGTGACAGTGACACCTCTGTCCCCATGTTTGGGGTCACCATGCCCGGGATGAGCCCTGGAGCTGTCCCAGGACAGTGACACCTCTGTCCCCATGGTGGGGTCACCCTGCCCAGGATGAGCCCTGGAGCTGTCCCAGAGCAGTGACAGTGACACCTCTGTCCCCATGGTGGGGTCACCATGCCTGGGATGAGCCCTGGAGCAGTGACAGTGACACCTCTGTCCCCACTGCAGTGACAGTGACACCTCTGTCCCCATGTTTGGGGTCACCATGGCCAGGATGAGCCCTGGAGCAGTGACAGTGACAGTGACACCTCTGTCCCCATGTTTGGGGTCACTGTGTCCAGGATGAGCTCTGGAGCAGTGACAGTGACACCTCTGTCCCCATAGTGGGGTCACCATGCCCGGGATGAGCCCTGGAGCTGTCCCAGAACAAATCCCCCACACCCCTGGCACAGCAGGGGACAGGGACAGGGACCTGCCACCTCACCAGGGTGGCACCGAACACTGGCAGAGCCCTGGTGGGACTGGTTTGAACTGGAGCTGAAATTCTGCTCACAGAATCAACACTGAATCAGAGGCATCCTGCTGAAGAAGGACTTTGTGATCTGAAGTGAAGGAGTGCTGGAGAGATCCCAAAAACTGATAAAACCTTCAGCTTATCTGAGCTTCATCTTAGAGGCCATCCCTTAACAGGACTGAAGTAATCCAAAACTCACCAGGCTGACACATTCCAACATTTCCAAATGCTCTTCCSAGGCTGGGCAGAGCTCGGGTGCATCTTTAACAGGGCCAGGACAAGCAGAGGATGGAGAAAAGGGAGGAGGAAAGGCCCTGATTTTCAGATTAATTAGGAAATAAAGGGCTCCTCTTGGCATTTAATGGTCTGCATGGGAAGCAGTTTTAGAGAGGGTGGAAGGAATTGGGATATTCCACGTGGGATAGGCACACAGGGAGAGGCAGAGCTGCTTCAAACTGGGAATTTCTTCCTCACTGCTTAGAATTCCCCCAAATCTGTGGGATAAAATCCCTCCTCCCCAAAGAGGAGCTGGGTGCTGTCACAGTTRGTGACACTTCTGGACACGGTGGCTGCTCGATGACAAAACCTCAGCCAAAAACCATCCTTTGGGTGCCTCTGAGGTCACCTGGCTCCTGCCCAGCCCATCCCAACTCCAGGKCTGCCTCAAACCATTCACATTCTGTCCTTGAGCCTTTATTTCTATGGAATATCCAAAACAACACAACCAACACAGTTACAAAAGGAGCTCACGGAGAAACGTGAAGCAGCCCGTGTTTGAAATGCTCTGTGTCACCKTCCCGAGTCCAGTAGAAAACAATTCAGGTTTATACACGTGTCAAATACAAAAGGAACCGTACAGAAATGTAGAAACAAAGTCGTGGAGGTTTTTGCAGTCCCAGATGTGGCAGGGGAGGGTTTTGAGCGGGCACYGTCCGTTCTGCAGGAGTGGCAGAGAGGAGCTCGGGGTGGGCTCAGCCCTGCTGGGAACTGGGAATTGGGAATGGGAGGAATTCTTCCTGCTGGGAATGTTCTGGAAAAGCCAAAACCTGGGCTGGCATCAGTCCCTGCCAAAGTTGGTGACACCAAACTGTCACTGCCACCAGCTCTGCTCTGTGCCCAGGCCTGGCACGCTCACTCCGTGTGCCCAACGCTCTGGAACGGCCTGGCGCCAGAGAGGAATAAAATAAAATAAAATAAAAAATAGTAATAATAATAATAATAATAATATTAATAATAAACTCGACAGAGCCAAGCTCCACGTTCACAGGATGATCTCACAGCAGTCTGTGGCCCGGCCCCGCCGCCGTGGGTGTTCCAGTCAAGGCAAAAAAAGGGGCACGAGGCTGAGTTCTGTGGGGTCACACTCGGAGAGAAGTCCCAGAAGTGCTGCCTGCAGCTCTTTAGAGCTCCTTGAGGATGATCTGGAACTTGTTCTCTGCCTCCACCATGTCCAGGAGAAAGGCCATGTGGTTGCTGTAGTGCTGGATGATGTTGTTGTCCATGTTCACCAGGATCCTGCAGAGAAAGGATCGGCGGGGTCAGATGGAAGCAGTGCAGCTTTGCGGGTCTGAGGGGCTCAACCACTGTTAATTCATTAATTCATTAATCCATTAATTCATTGATCCATTAATTCATTGATCCATTAATTCATTGATCCATTAATTCATTAATCCATTAATCCATTAATTCATTAATCCATTAATTCATTAATCCATTAACTCATTGATCCATTAATCCATTAATCCATTAATCCATTAATTCATTAATCCATTAATCCATTAAATCATTGATCCATTAATTCATTAATCCATTAATTATTTAATCCATTACTCCATTAATTCATTGATCCATTAATTCATTAATTCATTAATCCCTTAATTCATTAATTAAAGCCATGGCACAGCACAAAGGAAGATCCAGTTGTGGATCATCACCTTCCCTGACCTGGAATGGATTCCATGGAGAAAAAATGGAAAAGGAAACGTTTCAGGGTGGATTTAAACCCTCTGTGCTCAGGGCTGAGCTGCCTTTCCATGGGGCACAGAAATGTCCCCAACAGCTGGGAATTGTCACCAACAGCTGGAAATTGTCACCAACAGTGGGGAACTGTCACCAACAGTGGGGAACTGTCACCAACAGCTGGAAACTGTCACCAACAATGGGGAACTGTCACCAACAGCTGGGAATTGTCACCAACAATGGGAAACTGTCACGGACAACGCGGAACTGTCACCGACAGCTGGAAACTGTCACCGACAATGGGGAATTGTCACCAACAGCTGGGAATTGTCACCAACCACGGGGGAACTTTCACCAACAGTGGGGAACTGTCACCAACAACGGGGAATTGTCACCAACAGTGGGGAGCTGTCACCAACAGCTGGAAACTGTCACCAACAGTGGGGAACTGTCACAGCACAGCCCTGCCCAGTGAATGGGAACCCCGCAACACCACCCCAAATCCCAGCTCTGACCCCATAGATGCCCCAAAAACACCCAAAAGGCTCCCCCAGCAGAGCTGACCCCGTTATCTGTGGGATCTCAGAGAATCCCCCGAGCCTCTCACTGCCCTGCTCCCATCTCATTTCCCAACCCCAAACGGTGCCAGGSACTGCTGAGCAGGGATCTGAGCCCGGGACTGTTTTTTTTTTTTGGAGCAAACCTCACCAAATTGTTCATTATTGCTCCTGAATCATCTGCTGAGCTCATCCCCACGGTTGGRACAGCCCCACGGAGCTGCCCTGATGAAGATCTGCCCCTCAAGCTGTAATTACCAGCAGAGGATTGTTTGGGGTGGAGCAATGGGATGGAATGATTGGAAATGAAATTTGGGGGAGCAGAAGGCAGGGCTGACCCTGCACCCAGCAGATGCAGAGATTTTTATCTCCCCACCCTTCTGCTGGCATGGGTCACGTCCAGCTTTCATTAAAGCAGGTGTCAAAGTGATTTATTTRATCTGATTTCCTTTTCAGGAGACACCTCTGGGATCACACCTGCCTGGTTTCCATCCCAGTCACCATCAAACAGCACTCGCTGCTCATCAGATCAAATCGTGAACAAACCCAAAAACAAACTGAAGAACAACCCCAAAAACTCCCCTGAAGACACCAGTGCTGCTCTTCTCCTTTGGGGAGAAAATTCCCAGTTTTGGGGAGAAAATTCCCAATTTTGGGGAGAAAAATCCCAGTTTTGGGGAGAAAATTCCCAGTTTTGGGGAGAAAATTCTCAGTTTTAGGGAGAAAATTCCCAGTTTTGGGAGAAAAGTCCCAGTTTTGGGGAGAAAATTCCCAATTTTGGGGAGAAAAATCCCAGTTTTGGGGGGAAAATTCCCAGTTTTGGGGAGAAAAATCCCAATTTTGGGGAGAAAATTCCCAGTTTGGGGGAAAAAAATCCCAGTTTTGGGGAGAAAAATCCCAGTTTTGGGGAGAAAATTCCCAATTTAGGGGAAAAAATCCTCAGTTTTGGGTAGAAAATTCCCAGTTTTGGGGAGAAAATTCCCAGTTTGGGGGAAAAATTCCCAGTTTTGGAGAAGCAAACATTGATTCCTCTCTGATAAATTCTCCCCAATTTCAGGCTTTTAGGCTGGGACACAAAAGATCACCATTAAACCCCCCAAACAATTCCTCCTTCCCCCAATTTCCTTTCCTTGGGAGGCTTTACCCTCCAAACAGATGGAATTCAAACAAGCATTATCCCAAATCTTTAAAGGCCACAAAGATCTGGGTTTTATTTGCTCCAAATAGCAAAGCCTGACTTTGCTGTGCTTTTATGATCTTGTTAAAATGTTCTCAGAGAGAGGACGGGTCTGGAGGAACAGCAAGAGAGCAGATGAGAGATTAACTCACCCTCTTTTGCACTTTTTGTAGACTTTATAAATGCTTTCTTCAGGAAGCCCATATTTTTCTGAAATCTGGGAAGAGAAAACACAACAATTCTTTGTACTTGTAAAGTYAAATTCCCATGATAAAAATCAGAGATAACAGCAGCAAAGGATCCCCCCTCAGTTCTGCTCACGAGAACAAAACCACGACCTGAACATTCCCCTGGGCATTTCCAGTTCTGGTTTTAGGATGGCAGAAGTTTTGTAAAAATGGCAATTTCAGTTTTGGTTTTAGGATGGCAGGAGTTTTTTGTAGGAATGGCAATTTCAGTTTTGGTTTTGGGATGGCAGGAGTTTTGTAGGAATGGCAATTTCAGTTTTGGTTTTAGGGTGGCAGGAGTTTTGTAGGAACCAGATCCCCCAATCCCATTAACCAGATCCCCCATATCCATCTTCCTGCTCGCCCATCCCCTCCCATCCCCATTTGCAGTTTTTTTCCTTCCCATGGGTTTTTTTTTGGGGCACTCACAGCTGTCCTGAGGCCCTGCAAATCCGGGGTTTTCAACATGAGAGCATCGAACACCTCCTCGGCCTCGCGGCGCACGTAGAGCAGCACTGTGGGATAAAGGACAGCCCTRTTAACACAATTCCCGCTGATCCCACATCCCTGGGGCTCGAGGGGTTCAGGAATTCAGGAATTACCTCTCTGGGGATCCTCGTCCTTGCTCTGCTTCGCAGGAATGGGGTCGAAGTCGTCGCCGCTGCGCTTTAGGGGCAGCCTGGCCAAGGGAACAGCGGGGTCAGAGAGCGGGGAGGAGCAGCAAACGGAGCAACTGCAGCTGCTGAACCCCRGATTGAGCACCCAGGGACTGCCACAGCCATCCCACAATTTATATGGGTTTGGAATTGGAGCAGCAGGGCTGTGAATTCCTGCCTGGAGCACGCGGGGAGGGCCCCGAAGGGTTTGGGGTCACAGCGATCCCAAAAACCTCCTGCACCCCCATGGTGGAGCCCGGCTGGGGCAGATCCTGGATTTGGGATTTTCCTTCATCCCAGTTTGGTTTACAGCCTTGGAGGGTTTGAACCCTTCAGTTGGGATGTTGGATTTTCCCTTCAAACATGTGAGAGCAGCAGCACAAGCAGGGAGCAGCTCCTTTGGAGTGGCTCTGTGACAGGGACAGGAATGTCCCTAATGTGTCACACCAATGTCCCCAATGTCCCCAACTCTGTCACACCAATGTCCCTAATGTGTCACACCAATGTCCCAACTCTGTCACCCCAATGTCCCTAATGTGTCACGCCAATGTCCCTAACTCTGTCACACCAATGTCCCTGTGTTCTGTCACACCAATGTCCCTAGATCTGTCACCCCAATGTCCCTAGATCTGTCACCCCAATGTCCCTAATGTGTCACCCCAATGTCCCTAAATCTGTCACACCAGTGTCCCCAACTCTGTCACACCAATGTCCCTGTGTTCTGTCACACCAATGTCCCCAACTCTGTCACACCAATGTCCCTAATGTGTCACCCCAATGTCCCCAACTCTGTCACACTAATATGTCCCTAATGTGTCACACCAATGTCCCCAACTCTGTCACCCCAATGTCCCCAACTCTGTCACACCAATGTCCCTAATCTGTCACACCAATGTCCCCAACTCTGTCACCCCAATGTCCCTAATCTGTCACCCCAATGTCCCTAATGTGTCACACCAATGTCCCCAATGTGTCACCCCAATGTCCGTGTGTCCTGCAGCCCCCAGGCCATTCCAGGATGAATTGTGGCCCTTGTGGCACCATGGGGACACTGATCTGTGTCCCCTCCATTCCCARAGGAGCAGGAATTGATCCCTGCTGATCCTCACCTGGTTGCAGAGTTGGGAGCAGCAGCAGCAGGGAGCACCTGGAATGGGAAGGAAACGGGAATTGTGAGTTTGGGCAGTGCCAGGGGAGACAACCTGGACCTGATTTAAATGTGATTTCCTGATTTCCCTCCTCCACACCCATCACACAATGAAACCCAAACATCTGTTTGCTGGATTAAATGGAATTTGATATAAAGAACTTCCCCAAATTCCATTTTGGGGCAAACTGAGGCAGTGTTTTCTGAGAAGGGAATGCTGAGGAGCTCTGAAGGACATTGGGCGGAGAACAGTGGGGGACTGGACCCACCCAGGCACTGAGACAATCACATTTTGCTATAATTTATTTGATCCCACCACCCAGGCTCTGATTCAATCACATTTTACTATAATTTATTCAATTCCACCCACCCTGGCGATCACATTTTGCTATAATTTATTTTATTTTGCTCCCACTGCAGTGCTGTATGTGTGCAAACCACAGGATCACATTTTGCTATAATTTATTTTATTTTTTGTCCCACTGCAGTACTGTGGTCCCACTGTGGAAGCTGCGGGTGTTCAAACCACAGGATCACATTTTGCTATAATTTATTTTATTTTACTGCCACTGCAGTGCTGTGGGTGTGCAAACCACAGGAGCACATTTTGCTATAATTTATTTTATTTTTTTGCCCCTTTGCAGTGCAGTGTGGAAGCTGTGGATGTTCAAACCACAGGAGCACATTTTGCTATAATTTATTTTATTTTGCTATAATTTATTTTATTTTGCTCCCTCTGCACTGGCACTGTTGTGTCACCCATCCCTGCTGCCAGCTCCATCCTGGAGCTCCCCATATCCCCTCTGTGGATGTGATTTGGGGTTTTTTCATGCCAAAACTCCCTCGTGGAGCCACGATGAGCTCAGGGTGATGGAAGCACTCACCGAGCCCCTCTGCAGGCTGGAGAARTGCACGTTGGGGATGAACAGAACCGGGGGGGTCTCCAGGTCGCTCTCGGGCCGCAGGAACGTGATCTCGTTCCCTCGAAAGCCTGAGAGCAAACAGCCTTTGAGACCTGCGGGGGAGAGAGCAGCTGGGCTTAGGGCTGGGCCTGGCTTAGGGGCTGGGCCTGGCTTAGGGGT